CGACTGGGACTTGTAGTTCCACGCTTCAGGCAGCCCTGAAAAGCAATTGTCAAAGGAGCTTCAGAGGTGAGCTAGCTGGGACTTGTAGTCCCACGAGTAAGGCAGCTCTGGAAAGCCATTTATATGGAGATTGCAGTCCAGGGCTAGGTGTGAACTCCCCTACTGGGAAGAGTCAACACAGGCCTGACAGGACTACTGGCCTAGTCACTGGGGGCTAGGAGCCTGGGAGCCTGTTATGTGATCTCATGTGTCCTGGTGTGTCAACAGGCAGACAAACATGGGTCATGGGCAGTGCCAGCATGCTTGGATTACGAGTGCAAGGGGGGTTGATGCTTGGATTACAGAGAGAGGGCTGCAGGGCCCAGATCCAATCACCTGTCCTTGCCACTCAGGTTCCGGAGCTGCTGGCCAGGCCTCTGATAGATGGTGTCTGGATCCAGAAAGTGCAGGCTGACTGAGCCACAGAGACCAAGGGAATGGCACAGTCAGGAATCCAGGGGTCAGCTAGAGTCTGGGCATCCCCGGTAGTCGCGGTCTTCAAGCAGGATCCGATGACCAGGCTTTTTGAGGACCCTGGAAATCTGATCGCCAGCCCTGTGGTTGTGGCCTGCCCCATGCCCAGGAGCCATGAGGTAATGGAGCATCCAGAAGGTGCCTGCTGTTTTGCCATCATGGACCTGAGCAAGGAGCATGGGCCACCATCTCTAACCCAGCAAGCTCAAGACGAGCCAGCCTTCGCTACCCCATGTGGCTTGCCTGAAGCCACGGGAAAGCTAGTTGGGGTTGAGAACGCGCCGACCATCTCTCCAGCGCTCAGGAATGGCCCGCAATGCGGAGTGGAACCGGGTGCAGTTGCCCACTTTAGGGGCCTCGCGGTGTTCGGCCCTGTCTGGGAAGAGCCACTTGGGCCCCTGTCACTAGTCAGGAACCAACTGGCCGCGCCTAGTCTGACAGTTGAGAAGGGTAACTGTCAGAGGGGCATGTCAGTGGTTCAGTTTGTGAACACACCGGTAGGAAGAGACCCCCAGTGGTCTGGGCATGGGGAGACTGAGGCAGTTGTGGCCTGGTCTGCTCCCCAGGCCAAACAGCAGGTTACGTCAGTCATGGGTGCAGCTGGCTACAGTAAGACGCCTGGATGCGACGATTATGGCTCAGCTAGACCTGTGACTGACCTAGCAGACAGGAAACTGGAGGAACTGGTGTCCTGGATGCTAGCAGGTAACGAGGACTGTCCATCTTGGATGAAGGTACCTGTGGACACCACTGGGAGGCGAGGTCCAGAATTCGCCTGTCCGGTTCTGGTGCACACAGGCGCTACTACGTTCAGACCAGATGTAGTCCTAAACCTGAGGAAGAAGATAGGAGAGGGAAAATCTCCTTCTCTACCTCGACAAGAAGCTACATATTAATATGTTAGCAAATGACACCCCTGAGCCAAAGTGTTTTGTGAACAGGTGGGCACCCCGGCAGTTGCCACGGGATTCAGATAGCCACAGCCGATTGGTACCCACCCGTGACCACTCACTTGGTCGGCCCAGCAGTGTTGCTAGGGAGAATGGCTTCCTTTTCAGACGGAATTCGGTTCTCCCGCAGTGCAGCGGTACTTGGACAACCCAAGAGGAACCTCTGGACAGAGGTCGGTTGTGTCAGGAGGGGACTTGTAGTCCCCTCCCTGGCAACTACCTGAGGGGGAGGTGTAGCAAACTTGCTCATCAGAGTTGGATGCGGAGTTCCCCTTTTTTATTAGAAGTATGCCTCAATCCTTTATTCTCCTTCCCCCTCCCTTCCTGAGAGGCACAGGGACAGATGTGTAAGTGTTAAAAGTTGCTGGCAGGCTGGAGCAGCAGGGGGCCCAGCGCTACAAAGCCCCCCCATGGAGGCAGAGCCTCTCCCTCTAAGAACCTGTGTAGGCTCACACATCATAAAACAGATAAGGCAGCTTCTCCCAGGAATTGAAAGAGATTGTAACCTCATAAAACAGTTAAAGGTGACAGAATGAAATGAACATTCCTCAAGTCAGGTTTTTCCCCTATGTTTCATGTCATGGATTATGACAGATGTTGGTTCTAATTCAGAGTTCGCCCGACTGACCCCTCCCAAAACAGCTTATTGGCCAGTATTCAGAGCCACTCCCCCCTGCAGGGGGACTTTAAAAGACAGGCTGGCAAGCCTAAAGAATGAAGCTAAACAGATCTCCTAATTTTAACATCGTAATAGCAGGAGATCAAAGACCCTTTCCGCTCTGCAACTTGGATCTGCTTACCCTAAGGCTTATCATGGCAAATAACTTAACCTTTTAACTTCTTCCTGTTATCTCTTCGCTGTTATATGCTGTTTTTATATATAAATATATATATCTAGTTACATTTTATTTGTAAATATTTTATTGCACCTGTTTGACTCTTTTAGTAATAAATCTTTCTTTCTGAAAGTGTTAAACTGTTTCTAAGCGCTTACTTGCAATTCACGAATTCCTGCCTTTTGAAGAGACGCTACTGTGTTTGTTTAATCCTCTGCCCAATCGGCCTGCAGTGACCGTATTTGACAGGCGACTTTTCATCCATTACAGTGTATATTTGATAAAGAGAGTTTCCCCTTTCTCTGTACAAAAAAGTGTGGTGGCAGTGAAGGGTTAGTTGCATAATTAACTCAACCCAGTAACAAGCGCATTCAGGCTGCCGGTGCGTCGATTGCATTCCATTAGCTGGACAATCGTTATGCAGGGCGCAGCTGAGTGTGGCATTGTTACGTCACATCGCGGTTTTAGATCGGCTGGTCCTTTGGTCATGAGTTTGGTGAGAAGGTCTGAGGTCTGACGCTGCAAGCGTGATGTATTATTGTTGGTCGCGGTCGTGCGATTGTCGCATGTTGAGGGTGGCGATCGGGCGACCGTGACAGCGTCCAAAAAGCATCCCTTTAGGTCAAAAGCGGTTTTACACCAGCTAGAGAACATTAGAGTAAATTAGAATCACTTGCAGAGTTGAGTGATAATGATTTGTGCGGAAATTCATCATCAGACACTGAAAACGATTTTGCGACTTTGCTCAGTGATGTGCAAACTTGGCGCTATATTTCAAATTTCAGTGTTTTTGGTTTGATTATATTATTGAATTAAATGTATTATATTATTATTTTTTATGATTATTTATTAAATTATAATTTATGATTTTTGTGTTTCAAATTTTAACATACCCGGAATGTTTACTAGACTCTTGTTCGGACAGATTTTAGTGAGCAATTCCTAAAAATTACAGGCCTACAATAAAAAAAATACATATTTCCATGCAAAAAAATGTACTGCTTTGAGCCCAGAAATATGGACATAATCAGACCGCTAGGGAGGTTAAGTGATCATTGAAGGTAACCTCTGACTAAGCATTTTTTTCATTATATATTGAATATTTCTTGAATTTGTGGCACGTTTAAGTTAACTAGTTTAGGACACGGGGCATGCAACATGTGACCAAATATTTTTTTAATGGTCAAAAAAGAAAAAAGTGTTTTGGTAATTTTTGTTACTTTTTTGTCTTAGGATTGCATAAAAATGATTTTTGCAATACAAAAATCACAAAAAGAAAGGCGTATTTGTCCTTTAAAAAACTATATATGTATTTTGAAATCTTTGAGGGCCAGTGTTAATATTTACATTCTAGGTGTCAGGAATGGACTTGCCAATAATGGTGGGACTCACCCGCCTTGTGGGCTGCAGTACCAGGGCTGGCCAGTGGGTGCTCTCAACAATCAGAGACTCACCCCTGCAGTCAGCCAAACACCTGAAGCTGATTGCAGGGTTTGTATTTAAGGAATGGCCAGACTCACAGTCAGGGCCTTGGTGTGTGTTTTTCCATGGGCCCCTGTATCTTGTATCCTGTGTTCCTGTACCTGTATCTGCCTGACTTGTTGCTGACCCTGCCTGATCCTGACCTCTGCTGACTTCTCCTGTTTGATCCCTGGCTTGTGACCCTGACCATTCTCTGCCTGACCCTCTGCACCGCGCTGCCCGTGAGTTACTGAACCCAGCTTGTGACCCCGACCACTCTCCCACCTGTTCCTGGTACTCCGTTTGCCCGTTTGCTACTGACCCGGCCTGCCTGATGACTCTTGCATTGTATGTATTGTTATCTGTAGGTGGTTTGGTTTGTTTGCACTGTGTTTATGTTTAGTTTTTTGCCTGAGTTTTGTATTGTTAGTCTTAATAAATCATATTGTTTATACCATATCTGAAGCCTGCATTTCCCTGTGTCAGTCCACACACCTCTGGTCATACCCGGAGCCCGGACATTACACCAAGGCCAATCCTGACCAGAAGTGGCTGCACAGGGAAGCCATCTTGGCTTATTGTTGCTGGGAAGGATGGATCTTGATGAGGTGGTGTATTTATCTCTGCTAGTGTTTGATGACAAAGACTATGCTTATCAGACTCTGAAGGAGTATCCCAGGGATCAACTACTAGAGTGTATAAGGATCGCTCATTGCCTAGTAGATCAGGGCACAGAGTTTTCTGAGGTGCAGCCATTGATCCAGGTTTGTGTTGAGTTGGCTCGGTCCTGTACCCCTGAAAGCAGGAATGACATTTAGTGTGGATCAAGTGGAATCACTAGTATGGTTGTTGGAGGATGATCCAGATTGCTTCCATGAGCATTATGCAGCTTGTCCATCACATGTGCTTATGGATTGCATAAACTCAGTGCAGTCTTTGATCAGACAGGCTATGTGTAAGCTGAGTTTTGTTCAACCAGTACTGCAGACATGGACAGATTTGTTGCACCCAGCCTCAGTCAGCTTGCAACATCATTCCTCTGCTCAAGGCACTCTTCCTGCATCCCCGACAGCACCCCCAGTGACGGCCCAGTATACTCTTCTAACTACCACATACCAGTCCCCTGCTCCCACTCGCTGCACCTATCCTTTCTTTAACCCTGTAAAGAAGTCCTCTGTAGAAAACTGCTCCCTCCTCTGTTCCATCCTCCAGCTCTTCTCTGTCTTTAGCTGCTCCATTCGTTTACAGACCTGCGTTTACTTACAGTGCTCCAGTAACTAAAACCAGAAAAAAGCGAAAATTCTTTCCAACCAGTACCATCCTGCCAGTATCCAAACCGGTCAGCCTGCCATCTGAGAACCCGCCCTCCGTGGTTCAGCCTGGTGCCTCGGCACCCGCAATTCAGCCTGATGTCTGTACCCAGCCTGATGAACTGATCCAGCCTAATGATCCTATCATGCCAGGCGACTCGGTGCCCGCTGTCGAGCCAGATGACCTGATGCCTGGTGACCCGATGCCCCCTGTCGAGCCAGACGATCCAATGCCTGATGACCCAGTGCCCGCTGTCATGCCTGGTGACCCCATGCCTGCTGTCGAGCCAGACGATCCAATGCCTGATGACCCAGTGCCCGCTGTCATGCCTGCTGACCCGATGCCCACTGTCTAGCCAGATGACTCGGTGCCTGCTGTCGAGCCAGATGACCTGATGCCTGATGACCCGATGCCTGCTGTGGAGCCAGACGATCCAATGCCTGATGACCCAGTGCCCGCTGTCATGCCTGGTGACCCGATGCCCGCTGTCGAGCCAGATAACCCGGTGCCCGCTGTCATACCTGGTGACCCAATGCCCGCTGTCGTGCCAGTTGACTCAGAGCCCGCTGTCATGCCTGGTGACTCAGTGCCCACTACCTTTCCAGATGACTCGGTGCCCGCTGTTGAGCCAGATGACCTGATGCCTGGTGACATGATGCCCGCTGTCGAGCCAGACGATCCAATGCCTGATGACCCAGTGCCCGCTGTCATGCCTGGTGAACCGATGCCCGCTGTCGTGCCTGATGACTCGATGCGCGCTGTCGAGCCAGACGATCCAATGCCTGATGACCCAGTGCCCGCTGTCATGCCTGGTGACCCGATGCCCGCTGTCGAGCCAGACGATCCAATGCCTGATGACCCAGTGCCCGCTGTCGTACCTGGTGACCCGATGCCCGCTGTCGAGCCAGATGACCCGGTGCCAGCTGTCGAGCCAGACGATCCGGTACCTGATGACCCGATGCCCGCTGTCGTGCCAGTTGACTCGGAGCCCACTGTTGTGCCGGTTGACTCAAAGCTCGCTGTCGTGCCTGATGACTCGGGTCCCGCGGTCTTGCCAGATGACTCAGGTCCCACGGTCTTGCCAGATGACTCGGGGCCCGCGGTCTTGCCAGATGACTCGGTGCCTGCCGCTCCATCTGGGGGCCCAATGCCTGCTGCTGCGCCTGGGGGCCCGATGCCCGCCGCTTTGCCTGGTGGCCCAGTGCCTGCCGCTCCGCCTGGTGGCCCGGTGCCCGCCGCCCTGCCTGGTGGCCTGGTGCCCACCGCCCTGCCTGGTGGCCCGGTGCCTGCCGCTCTGCCTGGTGGCCCGGTGCCTGCCGCTCCGCCTGGTGGCCCGGTGCCTGCTGCTCCGCCTGGTGGCCAGTGCCCTCTGCTCCGCCTGGTGATCTGGCATCCAGCCCGATGTGCCTCTGTCCGGCGTCCAGCCCGATGTGCCTCTGTCCGGCTTCCAGCCCGATGTGCCTCTGTCCGGCGTCCAGCCCGATGTGCCTCTGTCCGGCGCCCAGCCCGATGTGCCTCTGTCTGGCGCCCAGCCCGATGTGCCAGTCTTTGATATCCCGCCAGTTAACGGACCCGGGCGGGTGAACATTTTGCCCAGCTAGGACTGTTTGGAGCGTCCTGAGGCCGCTCCTTGAGGGGGGGTACTGTCAGGAATGGACTTGCCAATAATGGTGGGACTCACCTGCCTTGTGGGCTGCAGTACCAGGGCTGGCCAGCGGGTGCTCTCAGCAATCAGAGACTCACCCCTGCAGTCAGCCAAACATCTGAAGCTGATTGCAGGGGTTGTATTTAAGGAATGGCCAGACTCACAGTCAGGGCCTTGGTGTGTGTTTTTCCATGGGCCCCTGTATCTTGTATCCTGTGTTCCTGTTTCTGTTTCTGCCTGACTTGTTGCCGACCCTGCCTGATCCTGACCTCTGCTGACTTCTCCTGTTTGATCCCTGGCTTGTGACCCTGACCATTCTCTGCCTGACCTGACCCTCTGCACCGCGCTGCCCGTGAGTTACTGAACCCAGCTTGTGACCCCGACCACTGTCCCGCCTGTTCCTGGTACTCCGTTTGCCTGTTTGCTACTGACCCGGCCTGCCTGACGACTCTTGCATTGTATGTATTGTTATCTGTAGGTGGTTTTGGTTTGTTTGCACTGTGTTTATCTTTAGTTTTGCACTGCGTTTTGTATTGTTAGTCTTAATAAATCATATTGCTTATACCATATCTGAAGCCTGCGTTTCCCTGTGTCAGTCCACACACCTCTGGTCATACCCGGAGCCCTGACACTAGGATAACATTGACTAGAATGTCTGAATCAGATTTGGCATCTGGACTGACGTAAGCAGAATTAAGGCATATTTAATTATATGTAAAATATCACTTTCTTAGAACAAGGTTTCTCAATTACCTGATGCATTACCTACTTTCCTATTGTTTGCATTACATATCAGGTAATTGTTGAATCCCATGGACTGCTACATCCAAGACAAATACCCTCTTTACACCTTTTTTTTTTTTTTCATAATACATTTTTATTTGATAAATATAAATAAACAGCGCAAACATAGACCTCTATATCAAATCAATATATAAAGTGCAAACATATATAGAAAATTATATTAATAGTGAAAGTCCATCATGATAATAGACAACAAAAGTTCATAAATCTCAAAAAATTCGTGCAAAAAGATCAAAAATTCTTCTAATGCAAAGAAAACTTCCACCTTCCACCCGTGCAAACCAACATCAAATGCACTCACCAGATTTAGGTGAATGAAACGCCTTTTAGGAATTTTTATGGGATCCTAAACCCTCTTTCGTATCCACTCTATAGGAATCCTCACCTTCAGTATAGGCTCCACCATACAACCAGGGAGAGAAAATCTCAGATAGTGTGATATTGCAAAATACCATTTTTAAATAAAATCAAGGATTAAGGCCACTCACATTTAAATCACTTTAAAAAGGCATATTTATTAGGACAAGCTTCTTCCAGATGGACAATGAATGTCAGACAACCTCCTCAGGAATCTCACATCACAGGTCCAGGATACAGCAGAAGCTCCACAGAGACCAAACATGCACAGATCCCAAAAGATGGCGCTGGAACGCACCGCTCAGCGTGCGCTCCACTCACCGGAAGTAACGTCAGACGTACGGGGTAAAGACCGGAGATGCGTCAACGCGTTTCACCCCTCCCATCGGGCGTTCTCAAGGCGTCCATTTCCTGTCTTGAGAACGCCCGATGGGAGGGGTGAAACGCGTTGACGCATTTCCGGTCTTTACCCCGTACGTCTGACGTCACTTCCGGTGAGTGGAGCGCACGCTGAGCGGTGCGTTCCAGCGGCCATCTTTTGGGATCTGTGCATGTTTGGTCTCTGGAGCTTCTGCTGTATCCTGGAGCTGTGATGTGAGATTCCTGAGGAGGTTGTCTGACATTCATTGTCCATCTGGAAGAAGCTTGTCCTAATAAATATGCCTTTTTAAAGTGATTTAAATGTGAGTGGCCTTAATCCTTGATTTTATTTAAAAACGGTATTTTGCAGTATCACACTATCTGAGATTTTCTCTCCCCGGTTGTATGGTGGAGCCTATACTGAAGGTGAGGATTCCTATAGAGTGGATACGAAAGAGGGTTTAGGATCCCATAAAAATTCCTAAAAGGCGTTTCATTCACCTAAATCTGGTGAGTGCATTTGATGTTGGTTTGCACGGGTGGAAGGTGGAAGTTTTCTTTGCATTAGAAGAATTTTTGATCTTTTTGCACAAATTTTTTGAGATTTATGAACTTTTGTTGTCTATTATCATGATGGACTTTCACTATTAATATAATTTTCTATATATGTTTGCACTTTATATATTGATTTGATATAGAGGTCTATGTTTGCGCTGTTTATTTATATTTATCACATTTTGTGTTCATCACATTGCACAGCAGCAGGATAGATCCTGTAGCAGTTTTTTTCACTTGGCGCAGGAAGAATTTTTAGTTTTACATTTTTATTTGGTTTTACAAATATAGTTACAACAACAACAAAAAAAAAAATAGGACAGTGAAAAGCTATACAATATTACAGTATAGGTGGTGGGGTAAAGTTTAACAAAGAGAGAAAAGGAAATATTGAATAATTCCTAAGAGTCCTACTAGTTCCACGAAATAATCATTTTAGAGTATCCAAAAAAAGGATAAACATAATATTTTAGGTTACAGTTCTGATCCAGTCGGACCAGGGTTTCCAAGCTTAGTCAAGCTTAGTTAAATTTAGTAACTCTATCGTTTAGGTAAGCTAAAGATTTCTCATAAATGAAGTGGGTTTGAACTAGCTCAATGACATCTTTTAGAGAAGGGGCTAAGTCTTTTTTTTCCAGTGTCTAGTAACGGTAAGTCTTCATGCTAGAAGAATATGTGTCACTAAGAGTCAATAATGGATTGGATATGTATCTATATTTGTATTCAAAATGGCTAGGGTAGGATCTGGTTGTTTTAATATCCCAGTAATTTCCAATATTATGTGGAACACTTTATATCAATAGCTTCTAATATTTTTACATGTCCATAATATATGTAATAGAGTACCAAACTGACCGCAGTTTCTCCAGCATTGAGGACTATCTTGTTCTGAGAATTTGGCCATTTGGTAAGGAGTTAGATACCATCTTGTGGAAATTTTGTGCGTTAGCTCCCAAAGGTTAGCACATCTAGTAGGTGAAAACACATTCCCGAATGCACATTCCCACTACTCATTAGAGATTTCAGTCTCTAAGTCTTTTTCCCACTTGATTAAGGGAGTAGTCTTATTAAATTCTGATTTACATTGTAAAAGGTTGTAAAATAGGGTTATACCACCTGATTTAGGAGTAGCGAAGCTATAGAACTGTAAAGATACTTTGGGTATATATATACTGTATTGTTTTTACTATTTTACTATTGTTTCGATAGGCAACGACTGATGCGTGTATAGGTTGATTTTTCAGAAGGGAGGAGGTTAAATTCTTTCATAAGGCATTAAAAAATGTTTATGTCGTTTTTAACACACATTTCTTGTATTGTGCATATACCATTATGTTTCCAATGTGAGATATCTATGCTAGGCATTACGACTTCTAAGTCTGTTATAGGTATAGGAAGAGGACTTATTCGGAGAGGATCTATAGGCATGGAGCTTAAGGATTTCCAGGCTTCAATTGAGGCTCATATAGTTGGTGTTGTTTTACTAGTGGGAAGCCTTTGCCATGAGCTCTCTAATAGTATGGTGCTTAAATCTGTAGTAGAGGCTAGAGTTTTTTCAGTGTCTCCCCATTTTGTATCATCTTCCACTATAAACCAATGTTTACGTTGGTCTAATAATGATGCTTTGTGATAGTCCCTAATGTCAACAAATCCCATTCCTCCTATTTTTTGTGTATGATTAATATACAGTTGCAAGAAA